TAAAATAAAAAGTTCCGAAAGATTCTGAAAGATAACATTGACAACTCTACATTTTATGCTTATTAACATAGGCACTTGCTCTTTCTTTGCCTTTTTGAATTCAAATATATTTTCATAAATTTCATTACAAAAGCATAAAATTTAAGCCACGCCATAACAAAACCAACATAATGTGTTTGCGACCTGCATGGATCCAGACCAGCCTGCACACGCGCGTAGTCTGATCAGGATCCATGCTGTTCGCTATCAGTTTCTCTACTTGTAATAGGGTTGGTAAGCGAACAGCATGGATCCTGATCAGACTGCGCGGATGCACAGGCTGGTCTGGATCCATGCTGGTCGCAAACGCATTATTTTGGTTTTGTCATGGCGCGGCTCAATCTATTAACTCTTTCTTCCAACAGAGGTGTTCTGCTCGTTTGACACGGACGGTTCTGGCAAATTAAACATGACTGAGTTGAGTGACGCACTATATTTACTGGGAATAGATCTCACACCGGAGGAACTGACAGAATCTTACAGAATTGATGGTAAGTCTAACACTAATTGTCTGTATCAGACAGACAAGGTAAAAGAGTTAATACAATAATATGGTTAAGAAATTTAAAGGCCTTACGACGTCAGATGTGTCGTCAAAAATCAGATGACGTCATGAAAAACTTTTTGTTGCATGCAAAATCATTATTTCTACCAGTCGTATTGACTCGAACAGTGCATGATTTGACAGCAACGTCCTTATTATTGTTATATGTTTACTAATGAACACATATATTTAATACTGGAAATCGTCATTTCCGATTATTTTCGAAATCGAAGTTTGAAAGCACAACCTTTGATTCTAAGAAGAGACCAAGTGTACGTACAGACACTTAGGATGCGGAGCTCAAAATGCGTTAAAATCCAAATAAAATGTGTGTGTGTCAACCCCAGCACATATACTTGTCATATGTATCAATAAAACTTAATATAAGCAGTTTTGAAAATATTTCATATTTAAACGAATATTATCATACATAAAATATTAGAGCTATATCAGATTTTATGTAATATTGTTTTAGATGATCCAGAATCGTTGTCAGAAGAAGAATTTAGTGAGTTCATCCGCGGAAGAATTGGGGATACTGACTTTGCTGAGCGCTGTAGGGAATGCTTGGATACGTTTGATGAAGAACATACAGGTAACCATAGAAACGAAATATTAAATGATTACTAGTCTAATTTTATTTGCTTCTGAAAAAAAAAACTTTTATCACATTTATTGGCCATAAAATTTCGGATTAATTCGCTATAGCCTTTACTGGATAGAGGTCAGTTAATTGGTCACTTCCAAAAAAAGGGCGCAATGAATAGACCCGCACTCAACTAGAGCAGAAGTTTGTCACATCAAGTACTTATGCAAAATGACTGAGGTCTGTGTTTGATGTTAAAATATATATGCAACGCATTTTTTATGGTTTTTTATTATAAATATGATGCTCAAATGAAGATTTATCAATATTGTGAGTTTAAAAAAAACATTGTTTCTAAAGATATTACCGTATTTAACATTTCATGTAAATAAAGGGAGGTAATTTGAAATTTATTTTCGATAAAGTCGAAGCTAGTTTTTACAATAAACATTGAATGCATTAACTTTAACGTACATAAAATGTTTTAGAAGAATAATTATATACATATATATAAAAATTTATTTAAATGTATGTTACATCAATTAATACAACATACAGGATCGTTAAACGTTCATTTTCAACATGATTATGCACAGTAAAGACACTGGGAATCAATCAGAAATATATTTGATTTAACCTGTATAATAATTTTCATAAATTTACAATGTGTAAATGCTGATATGAAATATAAGACTATTGGTTATAATATGGATGCTTAAATTTCAAGGGGAGTTGTCCAGAGAGAAGATGAAAGAGATCCTAACACAGAGGGGAACTCATCCCCTCAGTGACGAGGAGGCGGAGGAACTTCTAGATGAGTTTGATGCCGACGGAAGCAATACGTTCAATATTGAAGGTATTGAAACTTATAAATCGTTTATTTCCCTTAATTGACTTTTAATTATCATTGTGAATTACAAATGTATGTGAACAGTAAAAAATTGATCTGAAATATGAGATGGAAAATAAACACGCTTCATTCAATAATAATTTCACGTAAACTACTAAATATACTAATATATATATATATATATATTTGTAATATGACTTCTAGGTCCGCTGGGCCGGGTATGTTAAATTACTTATTATCGTTACTTTATCGTCATTTGTAAAATGTTATACACATTCACTATGATAGATAATATTAAATAACTTATTTTACTTACTAAACATGACAGTAATATTAATTTACTTTCAGAAATTGTGAACATGATGTACAGTCAAAAGATGAACGGTAACGATGCGCCACAAATTGACACTGTATGAACGATGACTCGATCCTCATAAAAACAACAACAACAACAACATCATCATCATCAACAACAAAAATAACAACAACAGCAACAGCAGTAGCAACAACACATTAAACCATATAGCTATTTTCGCAAAAAAACAGTGAAACGCATATTGTACTTATATACGCAAATATCTTTCTCAAATATTATCAGTCTTTTTCTTTCGCACTAGATTTTAATATTTCATTGTTTAGCATGTTTACATGTCTATTTGTTAACTTTATGTCAAAAAGATTACATGCATATTGTGCTCCATTTAGTCTCGTTTTCATTGCCCTGGTCCAAATAATCAATATTGTACTATATCTTGACTCGTTTTCATATTCCGAGTCGAAAAACTACATATCAAATTCATACTGTACATGAATTAACTGTATCTTTAATATTTTGCAAAACACTGTTGATTTTGAGTGTTTTTGTTTTAATTCAATCTGTTTTTTCCTTAAGAATGGTTTGTATTTAATAAAAAGTAAAGTCTTGTACACTTAATTCAGTATGGGACACAGACATTGAAAGGCATTCTTAAAGACACAAACTTAGACAGGTGCTTTAAGACATAGACTTAAAAACACAGATATAAAGACACTGACATAAAGACAAACATTTAGACACAGACTTAAAGACAGAGACATAAATGCACAGACTCAAAGACAGGAACTTTAAGACACAAACATTCAGACAGAGACTTAGACACAGACTTCAAGACACAAACCTAGACACTAACCTAAAGACAGTGATTGAAATGCACAGTCTTAAAGATACATGTACATACTTAAAGAAAAAGAAAGGGAATTAAATTCACAGACTTAAAGATACAAACAAAATCATCAAGACTCAAACTTAGACAGAGAATATGTCGGCAATATGTCTTAAGCTAGCGCCATGTCTTTTTATATTGATGTAAACAAGACCCTACAAGCTAATGCATTAGCAAAACTGTAGCTCTTTGGGACTCTGAAAGATTTTGTTTCTTACGAATCAATACAAGCAGACGAACTCGACGTAAAGGATGAAAATTGAAAGTAATCATCTGGCGGTCATGTTTCTTTGGCGAGATCCATGTTTCTTATACTGTCGTAAAAGAGATATTTTTAACTCTCAAGTTCATGTAATAGTAATCGGACCAAATGCAAGGACACAGTGTGTGCTTCGGATAATTATGCTGTTTACGAAACTTCTTATAGTTTATATACAGAAGGAAGTAATCACCAGTACAGTATTAAAACGCAACTTCTATGATACTCGGGTATTGAACAGCCACTTTTCTTTGGCTAGAGCTTTGAGCGCAGATGACTAATGTCTATTTCGTAAGGGGCAGGACATGAAGCGTTTGTTTGCACACTTGGTTAAAGCGAGCGAAATAGTTGTAAACTTGACAAAATAGCTACTGAGCCATCATTTATAACGCCTGAGCTTATTTTCTCCAGGTAAGTGGGTTTGTATGTTACTTTGAAACTTTTTAATATGTCCGTTCATTAATTAAGGCAAAGTATATGACACACTCATCTTCCTAGCTTCTGATTTGACGACGTTATTGATTAAAAACTGGCCATGTACATATTTTGAGAGTGCCAAGTAATTTATTTAGTGATACTACTTATTTTTATGGCAGGTCAATAAAGATAAATTCCGTCTATAAATATTTATCATTAATAATCTATGAAGTGAAATGTTAAACTGAGCACAATTTGCCCCTATAAAACAAAGGGAGGTTATTCATTTACCAAATACGTCGCAATTACGTAAATCGATTACTTCCCTTTATGGAGCAGTACAATGTGTCACCTGTTTACCTGTGCATTCAGGTGTGTTTTGTCTATTTATAGAACACTATCATGTCGTTGTAAACAGAAGTATTCTATATTGTCGGCCATATTTAACTGAAATTCAACATTAGTAAACATTCAGTATTTGAAAATGAAAATGTGTGGACTAATCAAGTGACTTAAGGATGGATAATCGAATCAAATTGATCGTGATTTTCATTTACACAGGTAAGTAAATTATAATACAAATAGTTTTATTATACATATATACGTATTTATTAACTGATTTAAATATCTGTGTGCTTAATAGGTCGTCTCATGCCGATGGCGGATATAACAAATACATTGTATTGTTATAATAAATACAGCGCGATTTATGGAGAAAACCTTTACATCAGATGAAATTCCGGACCTTTATGATAGGGTTTTCTATATTTACTTAATAAAAATATGTAACGGATAAATAACCAATAAGTATAGCCCGTCGAATCTACCCATGTGCCTAGTGAAGATCAACTGGCACATATGTGCAGTCCGAGGTCATGGTTTGCACTGTCCACTATTCACTTAGTAGATATTTTGTAATTTTCCCTAATAATCATAAAAGGTTCTGTCCAAATTGAAAGTTTGGAAAGTCCAATTAACTGATTAAGATATTTAGCGTAGTATTGTGCGTTAAGGTTTAACGCAACCGTAATTTTAACATACAATCATGTACATATAGGATGGACTTGAATTGTTTTAACTTTTCAAAAATATCTTACACACACTCGTCTATATTGTGTACTGTACATATAAAATAACAATTATTCGTTAACCAATGATGCCAAATTATGTTCAATTTTACTTGGAAGTAATATGCATAACATAAACAAACATACAGATACACCGGATGTGACACTCCTATAGATTTAAATAATTGCTTTAGTTGTGTGTTTTTTTCAGTGATTTGTCAAACCTTTTACGTCAGTTATTTTTTTAACAATAGCATTAATCAACAAACAATTAATATGCATTGGTTAAAATATTAAAAAAAACTTGGATAAACTACGTTAAATAAAAAGATCCGCATGCGGTTGATTGTGGGCTCATAATAATGTTACAAGTGTTTTACTTGCATAGCGCTAGGCATAATGGGTAGCTGTTTACTATGTATCAACTTTATATTTGATAAATTGCACGTGCACTTGCAAATATTGTGCATGAAATTATTTTTAAAAGTAAATAAGTTATGTCATTACCTCTCCAGCTGTATATAATAGGCAAATGCTATATACAGGTAAATATAGATTTAGAATTTCGTCAATGTTTAATACGCATCAATGTGAAATATTATATTTCAGTGAATAATTAACCAATTTTATATTATACAACTCTGCTGGCATAATTATGGGTAACGAATTACGTAACAGGAAATACAAATAAAATCCCCAAGATTAAAATACTCACTCATGCATACTGAATACATAACAGCCGATCATTCGAATGCAGTGAACAAAATTTCTATTAATCAAAATGTACGGAAATATGGAAAGAACATTCACAGAAATATATAGCTACATGGTATTTTAGAATTGCATAAATATAAATTTACAGGGTATTTGAAATAGAAATAACTGATAAGGTTATGTATGTAGCAAGAGTTAGTTTTCAGTAATTCTTTGATCGATTTAACAAAACATTATCGCATGATTTGATTTTTAGTGGTACTGCCCAGTGTCTTTCATATAGAATTCTATTTGAAAGACCCTGTACTGCCCAAGGTTATAAAGGAATACTCCAAGCTCAAACTCAGATCTCAGGTATTTGATTGGTCAGAAACTGTCACAGAATATATACTTGCCAATAAAAATCCTGGGATTTCAGAGAGAAATAAGAAATAAGTTGTCAGATCAAGATCGGTAGATAACCTAATCACGTGGCTTAACCTAATCACGTGACTTAACCGAGACATCTTTTTTTCGTAAAGTCTCCAAACCAGTCTTTTCGAAACACACTGAATAAATGGTATAACAATGGTATAATCATGGTAAAATAAATGGTATAATAATGGTATAATAATGGTATAATAATGGTATAACAATGGTATAACAATGGTATAACAATGGTATAATAATGGTAAAATAAATGGTATAATAATGGTATAATAATGGTATAATAATGGTATAACAATGGTATTATAATGGTATATAATAATGGTAAAATAAATGGTATAATAATGGTATAATAATTGGTATAATAATGGTATAATAAATGGTATAATAATGGTATAATTATGGTATTATAATGGTATAATAATGGTATAATAATGGTATGATAATGGTATAGTGTTATAGCTCTATTTTGCTTTTTCACTGATAATCTGTTTACTTACTTCGGTGTGTCGATAATTCTTTTTATAAAATATATTGTTTTATAGCCTCAATCTTAGATTACAACCTGTACCATTTATTACTCATTTATACCCACCCATTCAGAATTCCACAGAGTAATAGCGTAGATGGAGTGTGTTCACTTCAGAAGTGTAGAGATCCTGGTTCGAATCCTGGAAAGGGCACGTATTGCCACAGAATTATTTTCCTTTTCTTTAGTTAGGGCAAAAATGAATTTTATTTTTTAAGTGAGGAAGGTGTTCCGAATGAAATTACCACTTCATATATTCTGAAGCACAATAAGCACAATACAAGTGCTTTTTTTGGGGGAAATTTCAATGTCATTTCATATCAATAAAATTATAAACAACGACAAAAGTATAAAAACAACGACAGAAATTAGAAAAACAACGACAGAAATAAGACAGAAATCAGAAAAAGAACGACAGAAATTAGAAAAACAACGATTATTATTGATAAAATCGCAGCACTTGATTGCTACACATCAATAACTGCAGTTACCATGTTATATATAGAGGAATAAATAAATAATAAACCAGTATATATTTATATTAAGATACATTGTGTTGAATTATGCTACTATACTTGTTGTTGTTTTTCAGTGTTATGTGTAAATGTTGAAGCGGTATGTCCAGCGGGAAGGGCAGGACAGGCTTGCGACAAATGTAAGTTCTTTGATCTTTCTTTACCTTAGAGAAGACACATTTTATAGTTCGTCACTAGCAGTAATGCATCCTTAAATTAAGGGTTTTGCGTCTCGCTTTGGTTTGAACAAGTTCTTGCAACTTATGTTAATCACTTTCGAGTCCGTTGTCTGAACCAACCAGTACTGATGTCATATAAAAAAAACATGGCCGTGGACAGAGTAGGGCTCGAACCCATAATCCCTGGGTTCAGAGGCAGACACCTGAACCACAAGGCCACGGCTCCCCGTGTCGCTCTGAAAGACAACCCGTTCTCCTGCTTCGACCCCACCCTACTTTTCCCCTCCCATCAGAGAATTTTGTAAAACACATTTTTTCAAATTATCTTTTAAATGACATTTAACAATATAACTGTATCTATTGAAAACCAGAATCTAGCCATTGTAAAATATATTCAAACACAATCACAAATGTACACCCCGACATCCGGTCAGCCGTGCATGCCCATGAAGAAGTCCGGGTTAATTATTCTGATGTTGGATCAGATTTACTTCTGGGTCTTCATAACTAGATGTGTACCGTAGATAGTGTACATATAAAATAATAATTCGTCATTATTCTCATAAATAGTTATTTACTCATGATTTTTCTCATGACTTTACTCATGATATAAAAAAAAACTTGTTAGTTAATAATGACTTATTATAGAAATTTCGATCGTTGCATTGAGGTTTCGCTTAAGTACGGACATTATTATTTCATATTAATTTATTTGCAGATAATTATGCTTACAACAAACCAGCCAATCAGAAGGAAGATTGGATGTCACACTCCGCCGTAGACAACAATGGAACGTCATGTACGGTGATGAATCCGCCAGTCGAGAACCCGTGGTGGTCTGTAGATTTGAGAAAAGACATGTTCATAGATGGAATTGATCTCTTTATTGGGCAGGAAACTCTTAGTAAGGACTAGAAATTTTAACAAATCGCTGAAATCTTTACTTTTAGAAATTTTCAAATAGAAACATATTAGTTAAATAACATAACATTTAAGTTAAATAACATAAATTATTAACATTAAATGTAAAATAAAAAACCTATTAGTTAAATAACAAAACTTTTTAGTTAAATAGCATAACCTTTGAGTTAAATAACATTACATGTAAGTTAAATAACAAAACCTATTAGTTAAACAGCATTACCTTTGCGTTAAATACCATGATTACATTTTAGTTAAATAAGAAAGGCTTTTAGTTAAATAGCATAACGTATTAGTTCATGAGAAAGTCTATTTATTGGTGAAATAACATAGCCCTTTCAATTTAGTTTGTGAAAGCTTGCATATACAACCCTCAACTGTTTCCGCTTCCTGGAACTAACCAGTATGCTGTCACCTAAAGAAACATGTTCGAGATCCCAGTGGGGCTTGAACCCACGACCCCTGGCTGGCATCTTAACTACTAGGCCACTGCTCTTTTAATTTCGACTCATAATAGCATTTATTTAGCTGCAATCTACTAAAAAATGCGAATGTTTTCCGAGTTATAACTATAAGGATTTAACTCACTACAGTGTTGGAACAGTACCTCTAGACGGATCACAAAGAAGAAATAAATCGTTTTTTCCGCCGATTCTTACATTTTTTCATTTATGATCGTACGAAAATCGGTGGAAAGAGATAAATTAGACGTTTTAAGTGCGTTTGGGCGTGTGGAAAGGCAAGATTTTAGCATCTTATCATTCAATAGTGCCTTGTCCGGTATATACCGGAATACAGTATTTAGTTGGAGGTTCTCCAATACTTATTTCATAGTCTCACTCTAATGATATAACTTTAAATCATAATACTTTAATCCTTCCCAGCCATTGTTGGGTTTTACAGCGTACCAACACAATCTAGGTCATAATGGCGCTAAAACTGGAAGGATGACTTTGGCATACCTTGGATGTTACACACTTAATTAAACCAGGGATTAAAACCACCCCATCTGCTGGAGCTAAGAGATGCAGTCTTAAAGCAACACCAGGGGTCAAAACCACCCCACCTGCTGGTGATAAGAGATGCAGTCTTAAAGCAACACCAGGGGTCAAAACTACCTCACCTGCTGGTGGTAAGAGATGCAAAGTCTTCAGTAATTCAGTCATTTCCATAGTCGCCTCTTATTAAGATAACGCACGGCTTAAACGGTGGCTGCAGTTCTGATGCCTCCACCATTAAAGGCAACCCTCAATAACAAAGGGATTTTATTACCATTTTAACCTGCTTTTTTTAGCTCGACTATTCGATAAGAATAAGTAGAGCTATTGCAGTCACCCGAGCGTCGGCGTCGGCGTCGGCGTCGGCGTCGGCGTAACCACTTATGTTAAAGTTTTTGTAATAGTTCAAATATTTTCAAAGTCCATTGACATATGGCTTTGAAACTTTGCACACTTGTTCACCATCATGACCCCAACCTGTAGACAGGAGGAGGTAACTCTATCAAGCATTTTGACAGAATTATGCCCCTTTTTCGACTTAGAATTTACGTTAAAGTTTTTGTAATAGTTCAAATATTTTCAAAGTCCATTGACATATGGCTTTGAAACTTTGCACACTTGTTCACCATCATGACCCCAACCTGTAGACAGGAGGAGGTAACTCTATCAAGCATTTTGACAGAATTATGCCCCTTTTTCGACTTAGAATTTACGTTAAAGTTTTTGTAATAGTTCAAATATTTTCAAAGTCCATTGACATATGGCTTTGAAACTTTGCACACTTGTTCACCATCATAACCCCAACCTGTAGACAGGAGGAGGTAACTCTATCAAGCATTTTGACAGAATTATGCCCCTTTTTCGACTTAGAATTTACGTTAAAGTTTTTGTAATAGTTCAAATATTTTCAAAGTCCATTGACATATGGCTTTGAAACTTTGCACACTTGTTCACCATCATAACCCCAACCTGTAAACAGGAGGAGGTAACTCTATCAAGCATTTTGACAGAATTATGCCCCTTTTTCGACTTAGAATTTACGTTAAAGTTTTTGTAATAGTTCAAATATTTTCAAAGTCCATTGACATATGGCTTTGAAACTTTGCACACTTGTTCAACATCATGACCCCAACCTGTAGACAGCAGGAGGTAACTCTATTAAGCATTTTGACAGAATTATGCCCCTTTTTCGACTTAGAATTTACGTTAAAGTTTTTGTAATAGTTCAAATATTTTCAAAGTCCATTGACATATGGCTTTGAAACTTTGCACACTTGTTCAACATCATGACCCCAACCTGTAAACAGGAGGAGGTAACTCTATCAAGCATTTTGACAGAATTATGCCCCTTTTTCGACTTAGAATTTACGTTAAAGTTTTTGTAATAGTTCAAATATTTTCAAAGTCCATTGACATATGGCTTTGAAACTTTGCACACTTGTTCACCATCATGACCCCAACCTGTAAACAGGAGGAGGTAACCGTATCAGGCATTTTTTTTACTATCAAGCACTAAGAATAGTCGAGCATGCTGTCCTACCGACAGCTCTTGTTTAATATTTATTTTTAGATGAATTGGTAACGTATGCTATTGAAGTACAGAAAGATGGAGAAACAACATGGAGTATGTGTCACGCTGATAGTAAGACCGGAAGTAATAGATTCAGTAGCCCCCTCAGAGTTCGGTGTAACTCCCGGATGAAGGGTAGGACAGTTCGATTCACGGCGTATCATCAAAGCATCAATTTGGTGTTCTGTGATGTGGGAATTTATGGGGGTAAGTTTGTTTATAAAAAAATATCATGTGGGTTTATTTTTCAGTGGAATTGCCAATGATTAATTATGTTTTTAGACCAGTGGTCAAATTTCTCACCGTGATTGACATATCCGGGATTACCGATAAACGCATTATACTTGGAAATAAGAAAATATATATTTATATTGAATACGAGGGGTGTTCAAATATGAATGGAAGTAGTCAATATCTCGCCCGTAACCACGTTTTGCACGAACTATGTACATGTATCACATAGATCGTTGTGTAAGCTCTCAATTGATACAATACATGTGTAAATCAGTTCAGTCTAGCTTTGACAATAGCTCGATTAACGCCATTTTCTCTAAAATGGTTGGGAAAAGGTCTCAACGGTCCTATATCAAGAACCGCTGTATTCTTGTTATACAGACGAAAGACATATTTAATGAAATATATCGTGTTTATGGGAACAATGAACTTTCTTTTTCATCTGTCACACGGTGGTGTAAGAAATTTAAGTGGTGTGGATTCAGTAAAAGATGCACCGCATGCATGCCGTCCGAAAACTTAACTTCGCCAAAAAAGTTGAAAAAGTAAAGGATTTGATAGCTACCGATGCAAAATTTACAAAGGTGTGCATGAGGTGCATCTGTTACTGAATCCACACCACTTTTACATTTCTTACACCAAATATCCATAATTATATTTTTTGCGATGAGACGTGGGTTCATTTATGAGCCCAAGCGAAAGATACATATGAAATATGGGCAACCAAAAAAAGTCAAAGACCTTGCATAGAAAAACGCACCATGAGTGTCAAAAAGGTCATGTATGTAATTTTCTTTACCAATCAAGGTCCTGCTATTCAAATTACCGTACCAACGGGCAAATCTGTAAATGCCAAGCTTTACAAAGGCAAGATCGTTAATAAATTAAAGAAATATTTCAAAAACCGTCGACCAGCACTTGTCTCCGTGGTGTCAGATTGTTGCATGACGATCGTTCGTCACACTAAACGGCCATTGATCTGAAACAGGAAAAGGTTGTCGAGCTTCCACAACCTCCTTATTCGCCATTGTTTGATTGCCCCTTGTGACTTTTTCGTTCTTCCGAGGCACCTTGCTGGAAGAAAATATCAAACGCGAAAAAATCCGTGTTCGGCTATTATCTAGTGTTTGACCTATATATACCTCGAAATGATTATGAAAACGGATTTAAAAATTGGATTAAAATACTAAAACTTTGTATATCACATGGTGGTGAGTATATTGAAGGATTGAGATAATTATTTTGGCACTGTTTGTTAAGCACTTCTTAAAATTGACCCAGTGGCATTCATATTTGAACACCCCTCGTACTCTTTTATTTGGGTTAAGGTATAAGATGATTTTTATTGCACACTTCAATTATTATTTTAGGTGGTTCCCGGCTCGGCTGTACTTGTATATTTGTATCTATTGGATACTAGGAACCAGATGTCACATAAGTATTTGTCGTCTGCTGTCGTTGAACAGAATGATAAATATTTTAAAACGTATTTCCCTTGACAGCTACTGTATAGAAAATTTATAGAAAGCACTTTGATATTTTTAAAATGAAAACTGAGGCAGGTATTATAGAACGTTCATTCGTGCGTGTCCGTTTAATATTCTTCCTGTTTCTCAACATAATGTCACGATGAAATAAATAAGAGCGAAAATTAAGAAAAAACAAACAAAAAAATCCCCAAACAAACAAGAATTAAGCCGTATACAATAAATTATGATATATCAAGGAGCATAACTCTGTTAGTACTGTTGATCTAAATTATTCCCCTTTTACAGCTTGTGTTGATGGTTCATATGGCAACTATTGCGAACATGATTGCGGACATTGTAAACTGAACAGCCCTGTCTGTGACAAAACAACCGGACGGTGCCCGACAGGGTGTGATACCGGCTGGTACGGGCCGACTTGTGACAAAGGTAAGTTGTAGTCTGTTTTTTATACCGAACACTGCATTGTAACACCGCACTTTGGGGTCAAACGCACTTTGGGGTCCGACCCCAAAGTGCGTTACGTACTTTGGGGTCCGACCCCAGAGTGCGTTACGCACTTTGGGGTCCAATTTCGACCCCAAAGTGCGTTAAACAGGTACATATGCATTTTTTAACATCAGGCAAACGACCGCACTTTGGGGTCATAGAAAATTAATGTTCATTATGTTTTAAATAATATATTGTAGTCAAAGCCAATGGTAAACAAAAAATCAAGGTATTAAATCGACACAAACAAGTGCCTGAATTACAGTAGAACCAATAGGGATTTAAATAGTCTTGATTAGTTAGTGAAGAACTTTCATCAAATAAATCACCAAATAAAGAATTTGTATCAATTATCAAGCTTAAAATTAGGGCCGGGAATTTTATTCGAATATTCGAAACACTATCGAATATTCGAACATTGAAAAACGAATACGAATATTCGAAATTTTTTTTTTTTTTTTTTTTATATTACTTTCAAATTCCAATTAAGATCGTAAATTAAACCATTGACCTTTACTTGACCAGGTGTTCACACGTTTGTATGACACGTGTCAACGATTATCGCCAATTAACTGTGAAAACTTTGGGGACTAGAACCTGTTTCACAGTTTCCAATTTAACTGTTTAACAGTTTCCAATTTACCTGTTTAACAGTTTCTAATGTAATACTTTCCGATATTAATTATCTTATTTATTGTTTTCTGTGCTATATGCTTTCCGATTAATCAATATTTGTCATAAATTTTGTGAAGACGAAAAAATCGACACGCATTAATCGGTGCTTTATGAAAGCATGGTATATTTATTCCGTAGAAATTAGACTCCTTGTGACATTTACTGCGTTATAGCTAAATTTATCTAAAATTTATCTTAAGAATTTTTCAAACCTTATCTAAAATTATAAATAAATAATAAAATATTTAATACAAGTTAAGTTTCAATATAATTATGAGTGATGATTCATATTTCACGTGAGTTACCTCCCGTTAATAAGACATATGATCAGCAGTCGGATCAACTTGAAGGAAATCAAATTATGAATTTATTTCAAAAGTAAACATATATGTCGATTTACAATATATAAATTAAATTTTTTTTACATAGTTATAAATATATTTTTAATCGTCGATTATTCCAAGCATTTTAAAGTAGTATAGTATTCGACGCAATCAATTTCGGATACGTATACGTCAGAGAGAAATATTGGAACAAATGTTGTAAAAACGAATATTCGAATATATTCGAATATTCGAACATCAAATTCCTTATTCGTTCCCAGCCCTACTTAAAATATTTTTTCTCAAATTTTCCATTTATTTTAAAAGAATGTACACCTTTCATTAACTCCATTAACTTGGTTTTAGCTAAATGCATTATTTTCCCATTTTTTATTTACACATTTTTAAGAAATATGATAGTCTTAGCATAGACAAAGGTATAAATTCTGGAAAATCCTAGTAAGACATTTCAGTAAAATGTGTGCTTGATAATATGTTGAAAGAGCCATTTAATTAGCTAAATGTGACATAATTATAAGAAACTTGACTAGGTGTAGATGTGGCTTTAAGTAGTAGTCCGTACAGGCAGTACTAAAAATATCAACTATTTAGGTAGTCGCACATTAAGAGCGGAGCTTCAGAATAATGTAAAATTCTTACTGGGGGTATAGAGGGGATTGTGGGGTATCGATCCCCCGAGGGTTAAAAATAACGTTTGAAAGGCCCATTATGCTTTCATTTGTTTTCTTAAAAATCTTTTTTATTTTGATGATCTTCTATATTATTCAAAAAATAAACATTGGCCAATTACCTGAACCATCTTTTTATCTGTTGCTTTTTGGCAATGATAAGTACAGTTATAGTGAATTAGTATTTTATATGGAAGTCAAATACTAGTGTTTTGACTTCTTTTAAGACGAATAATTTCACAGTTATCGCTACTTTATTCAGATAACAAGCATCTTACATTTCTCTGATACCATTATTTTAACATACTAAATTTCATGTTTGCTCTTTCTGAAGAAGTATGTAAGATTTCCCATAAAAATGCCTCTGGCGAACGGTGGTTACGGAGCTTACAAAAACCCTTCAGTTTGTTGATAAGCTTAATAATGTATTTGTAAAAATCACTATTTATAGTCCGATCGAAAAACTTGATTTTTCACCAGAACATTGCAATAGAGTTTATTTATATATAGTTCTTTGGAAAAAATATTAACTGCATTTTATTTCATTTCCAACATATTTAAAATGGGGCTCAATATGGCACCAAAAATTATCAAGTAAATGACCGACAGAACGGGATATTTTTTTCGCAGCTTCTTTAATTCTATGAATACACAATTTCTGTACTAGAGTATTTTGAACGGTGGCATTTGTATTTTTTTTATACTTTTTGTTTTTCGTACATATTTTTTGTTTGTCTTTCGTACATATTTTTTTAGTTTTGAAAACATACTTTTTTTAGTTTTACATACATATTCTTTTTAGTTTGCATACATATTTTATTTTAGGTTTGCATACATATTCTTTTTTAGTTTGCATACATATTTTATTTTAGTTTTGCATACATATTCTTTTTTAGTTTGCATACATATTTTATTTTAGTTTTACATACATATTCTTTTTTAGTTTGCATACATATTTTATTTTAGGTTTGCATACATATTCGTTTTTAGTTTGCATACATATTTTATTTTAGGTTTGCATACATATTCTTTTTTAGTTTGCATACATATTTTATTTTAGGTTTGCATACATATTCTTTTTTAGTTTGCATACATATTTTATTTTAGTTTTTTTTGTACATATTTTATTTTTGTTTTTTTTTTTTCGTACATATTTTCACATGACGCCATTTGCAAAGTAGAGGTTTGGATAATTACACCATTTGTTAAACACCATTTTCAAACACTTCGCCATCTGTAAATTACAGTACAAATGCCATTTGCAAATACCAACTTTTTCGTTTTTGGAGGTATCAAAAAAAAAAAAAAACACTTTTTAGTATCCGCAGTAACCCAAAGAAAGGTTCTGCATATGGTCTCGACGTGGTTAACATTTGGCACAAGGTGCCGTAAAATCCTTCATGGGGTTTTGGAGATAAGGAGCGGACATGAAACCCAGGTCTTTATCCTTTGACCTGTAGGTGTGACCCCGACCTTGAGCCGGCACACCTGGGATATAAGTTCAGCACATTATCTGGATGTGCTAAGGAATTTCATAATTCTCAATTCTCAGAGGTTGGGGTTGAGTGGTGCATATTCATGGAATAATAACTGATCACCAATCAACAGCCCTTATAATAGACACTAATATAACAGTATATAATAATAAAAAACAATAATTATATAAAATACTATTATACATATAATATAAAAAATGGGCAGAAAAGGGTCGGCCGAAAAGGGTCGGCCGAAACCAGACTTGCCCGGCCGAATACAACTGGGCCGATTCCAAAAATGGGCCGAAATGTGACCAAAACACTGTGCTAGTTTTATACTCAATTATGGGCTGTTATGAGAATTGAAGGCTGTTTTGATTGGCTAAAATATGTATAAAAAACAAAAAATTAAATATGTACGAAAAACAAAAATAAAATATGAATGCAACACTGAAAAAAATATGTATGCAAAACTAAAATAAAATATGTGTAAAAAATAAAAACAAAAAAATGCAAATGTCACTTTCATGCCACCGTAATTTTGTTGTATGAAAACAATATTTAGATTTTTCAAGTGGTAAAATTAATGAAACTTTTATCACTTTAGCATCATAAAGTCTTGACCGCCATCTTGAACTCCACCTAAAATATTGCAATGTCGCAGATAGAAAATAAGTCAGTACTCAGTATTTAAGCAGAACTCAGATGACACCTTTAGACCTCTTGAACCCAAAGTGCGTTGATATGTAGCATATTAACGCACTTTGGGGTCAATTTCTCGATTTTGACCCCAAAGTGCGTTTGATCCCAAAGTGCGGTGCGAAGTTTAACGCACTTTGGGGTCGGACCCCAAAGTGCGTTTGACCCCAAAGTGCGGTGTTACACTGCATCCAGTTTGTATAGATTTACATTTGTAACTTTTAAAACTATCCAAGGATCAAAGATCTTGTAGTCTAAAAGTAAAAGGTTTCAAAACGTACAAAACTACTGTTACCCTGAAAATGTTACAAAAAAAGTTCAAAATAAAAGTAAGAAAAAAATTGTGACATTAACATTAAAACACTGCATAATTTTGTCAGCTGCATTCTTTGTTTTGTTCACATCCAATATGAATATTTCGAACATATTATTCACTTGCTAAGAGTAAGTATGAATTACATGTACAAATTTATTGCCACAGTTTGTCCACACGGTAAATATGGAGACCAGTTGCCCCGAACTGTGGCATTGTAAAAAACAAAGCTACTTTCTTCCGTTTCAAG